AATGGTTTTATCTACTGACCAAAGGATGTAATGGTTTGCAATTTTTTGTGTTCTGTTCTGGAGAAGTGGGTGCCACCTTACCAAGAAACCTCCAAACTAACCAATTCTTTCCTCAAAATGTACCTAATTTTTCTGGAAGATAATATGAGAATTCATTTAACTGGCTCAAACTTTGTGCAAAAAATACCCAGGATTCAAATGAATCTAACTCATCACAGCTTTAAATTTTTCTTGGTACTGATTATGGTCTTTTATATGGGTATAAGGGTTTATAATGTACTTCAACGAAGAAGTACGCCAAAAACAGGAACATGTGGATTACAAGTTTAAACATGTACTCTCCACAAACAACTTTGTTCCATATTTCATGGCTGGCAATTTAGAATCTAAAAAATGGCAAGAGATTTCTTATTATCTTTGACCTTCAAAGAATTCTTGCATGTAATGCTAAAAATAAGGCCATAGCTGTCTGCTGACAAATCCTGGGCAATGAAGACTATTACCATGTTCAATTTCTTCTAGTGCACATGGGTCACTGTTGGACCAAAGATCAACTTGGGAAATAGAACACACACACATGGTACACTCATGCTGGTGTGATGTGCATAACCTGTTCTTGTAGGTGGGCTTATACATCTCTTCTGAGGTACTTTATGGATCAAGGATTACATGGTACTTGGGTGCCATATGTAAATAAGACAAAATGAAGATATACCAACTTTATTTCTAACCATTAGTAGTACAACCGAGTGGATGTTTCAGAAACATTATGCTTGCAGTGTCCCTACTCACATTATTCACGGTAAAGAATATAGCCATTCAGAATTCAAAAGTACCTATGTTCGCACACTTCTACCTTTCAAGTAAATACAGAATTCACTCTACACAGCCCCTTCGCCATTCCACGTCAAATCAACCAGATTTTCAACCTAATCCCTTCAGATTAATATAACTTATCGTGAGACTAGACCCTGTATATGCGAGTGAAAATGCCTATTGGCTTTGCTATTCTATGTAATGTTTTGTCACAGAAATTAAAATTTTCAATGAAATGGGATTTTCTGGAAAGACATGGCTTTAAACGTTTATAGAACTGTTACATATCCCACAAAAAAAAAAAACTTTCCTGTGAGCTATCCTAACCCAACAACTTGCAACAGGTCACCCTGAGATAAAATGCTACCACGCCACTCTGACACTGGCTGTAAGAGTTTCTGGGAACAATAGGCTTGCTTACCTTGTTATATCTGTTGGCAGCAACAAGAACCCTGTTCTTCCTTCTTCATATCCCTCAGTTTCTGTACCAATCTTGTGTCTTCACTGGAGCAGATGCAGATCAGGTGGTTGTATCTCAGCATCACATCTCCTGCTTTTTAGATGAACCAGCTCTCTGCAAATGAATAAGCCTATCAGCTGCAGTCAGATTTCAAGGGGCCAGTCATTACAATTTTATACTTGATCAACAATGGAGATAAAGCTCCACATATTATTCTTCGGCAGTAACACTATAAATAGTTTTGAAATATTTAAATTTGGTTTCATAATACTAGTTCTCATGTGTCTGAATATGTTCTTTCACTCCACTACACTATGTCCACCAATGGAACACATTTTCATGCTTGTCTGCTATGGCCTGTGTAAGTCTTGTACATGTGTCAGTTTCCGAGGTCTCACATTAGTGAACAGAAGTTGCACAAATATCACTACACTGTATTTTCTGATTTTTTGTTCTGAACGCCAAAATAAAACACGAATTATGGCTCTTATAATTCAGTGTTCACTTTATATTCTTACTTTCAATAATGTTATGACTCGCACATAAAATTCTCAGTTCCCATTACCATGGACCTTTAATATGTAGCATACAATTTACAGTCAATTCCAAACAGTGCAACCTTGATATACCGCTGTGATCATGTCCCTTAATACGATTACATGTTTTACGCGACTATTTTCGTAAGGAAGCATAAATGTCAATTTAGAGTGGTCCATACCAGGGCTGGTCAAACATAATTTATACAAAGATATAAATTTGTAGATGGCAACCATCTTGAATTTCTTGTTCGCATTCACTTCAAGGGAAATTGTGTTTCGAAATATAACGGCTTCCACTATACGATCAAAAATAACTAAAGAGCGATCTGTGCAAATCTATTACTACAAAATCTTGAATGCCGATCTGAGGTCCTACTTCATTCCGTAATGCAAATTTCTTCAGTGACGTCTCAAAGTGTGTAATTGCTTGAAAAGTATTATTTACGTGACCAGACTCCATCATTGAAGGAAGATTCATTTACTTAATTATTTTGAAACTAGATAATAAATCACCTTACCTTTCTTAATGCTTTCGTTGCCAGATATTGAACCCCAACTGAAAACATGGCCAAATTACCCTTCTCTACTAATAACAACTATACGCCAGCGTCCAACAAGCCGAAATGAGACAGAGTCAAGTCCTTTACCTATTGCATTGTGGTCTCGACGTCATCACTTACGTCACAAGATCGGGTACTTTCATAAAACTTAAAAACGGAATTTTTACAGAATTCAATCTAGATCCATTCTATAAGTGAGGGAATACTACTTTTCTTACAAGCTAATGTGATTTTGCCGTACTCACATCACACTGATGGCATAATATAATTTATTTCATAGGTCCTTCATAAGACAGGATAAGGATGTGAGCACGTCATAATATGAAAATGGTATTACTATCAAAATAAATCTCCAAGAAACAGCAAGTGAACCAGATTAAACTGATAACCCTGACTACCAAGCAGGGCACATCAAGGGTTTTCTCGACAAATTCGACAACTATCAGCTTAGTAACTCTTGCTTCATACAGTTCAGCATATGAAGATATTCTTTTGCCTTTGCCAAGATCTCATAGGATGTGATGGATTCTGTCGATCCCCCATGCCTGTGACCACTACTCCCTTCATGCCATCATTCCATTCTTTTATGGTTTGGAGTCAAACCTTGTTGCCAAGAGTACATGCTGTGAGGCATGGTCCCAGATCACTGTACCTTTATTGGTCTATTCTTAAAATAATTATATATATTTGTTTACCGTCAAATCACAATAAAATAGTAAGATAAGATAACTGAAATGATTAAAATATCATCTTATGTTCCATATCGAGCATTCGATTTACATCGGAACATTCACAACATGTTTCGGTTTATCAAACCGTCATCAGGTGTAAATTATAAACTTTTAAACTCAAATTACAATTATTTATAGTTTTACAATTTTATACTTTTATCATCTTTCTCAGTATATTTCTTGGAAGTTGTGTTTAGATATTATTAATATAACATTATTTGTTGTGGTGGTGTTATTGATGTTTATACCAGTCATATATGAGATAGCAATCGGTTCAGATGTGTTCACAGGAGAGATCCAGAAGTGTTACCATCTCGGAACAAGGTTCGTCACAGAGTGCAGAATGGCAGGATGGTTACGGGCGATGAATTGGGAATAAAATTGGAACGAAGCGGTCGTGGTATATTTTAAAACGGTCTAGTATTCACTAAGATCGCCTGAGAGGAAACACACGTAAACCACACGGACGGCCACTGCACTCCGGCCCCTGGATGTAGTATCCCATAAGGACACGGGAAATGAATGGAAAGATTACGTTATGACAGATCGCAGAACCAGGTTGTCAGTGTTTGGATTTTGTTCGCCTGGCTTTTGTGATGACGATGTTGAACCTTTTGATTCCATAGCAAGGGACAATTTTGTGAATAGCTGAATAGTAATCAGCTGCTCAGTTTGCTCGGAATGTATTCACAGATGTTTGATAGGAAACATCATTTCCGTACAACAGCACAGAAGTTTTAAGTTGAAATGTCCAGACCAGGCATCAAAACCCATACAGAGTCAGTTTAATCCACTCTACTTCACCAGAAGAACAAGTCTTGCAGGTAAGATTTCAGGGTAGTCTGGCAGAAGTTTTCCGACGTTTCAGAGGTGCTTCCAACATTGGGGCGATCGCAGCAACGACCCTGAAGACAGCCTTTTACGACAACAGGCCTTCGTACATGTCCCAGGTGCGGTCCGCTGCTTCTCCAACAATAACAGGGCTGGCTTTTAGCGAACGTTTTTACATTCAGAGGCAGTTGCGGCTTACAATTCGCAAACCAAACCGACCACCAGGTGAAGTAATGGAAATGTAATATGTTCTTCATCCGAACCCTACAGTCGGCGTGGACAGTACAGGAACCAAAATGCGGCCAAACCACACAAGAGACAAAGAAACGTTTTCAACAGCCCTGCATGGGGTAGCCTCAAAACGCACTCCACTGCATAATCTCGGGTACACACAAAAGGCGGAAGGATGTGAATGGACAGATGATGGAGAGCGCTACAGAATGTTCAAAAATTCTGCCTTACCAACACAATTTATGCAAGCGTACATACCGAAACAAATTCGTTTATTGCAGACAAATTTGTTGTTACAAGACACATCACACTACAGATATCACAGCAGAATTCAATCATACACAACACTTTATTCCTTTGGTAATGTGGACACTGCAGTAACGAAGAAAAAATATTGTCACTTTCGGGAACCAAACCCCGGTCGTCCAGTCTGTAAGCCCTAAGCAGTGGTCAGGACTTTGTGAAGGAAAACCAAAAACTCAAAACCTGCACCGGGATATGAACTTCGACCGTCTCGGACAGAGCACTTTCTCTGCGTGGATCGCTAATTAACCAAAGTGAAGCACAATTTTGATGAGCTGTCTGTATCCGGCCCCAAGGACCGTTGAAGAGGGTGAAGAATTTCCACAGTGTATTCACCACAGCACACAAAGCGACTGACAACCATGTTTTCTGGATACACGCCGTTGAAAAGGTAAACCCGAGGGATCCTTTTATTAGCAGGAATAATAGGTTTAGGGGATGGTTACAAAAATCTTAACACTTGTATCAAATACAAAGTGGCTGTG